CAGGGGTAGGCAACCTTGGCTCTTTTATGACTCGTGGACTTCAACTCCCAGAATTCCTGAGCCAGCATGGCTCTTTCCCCTCAGCATGGTTGGCTCAGGAATTCTGGGAATTGAAGTCCATGAGTCATAAAAGAGCCGAGGTTGCCTACCCCTGAACTAGACATACCCAGTTCCAGTAACCGTTATTATGTTGTTGTTGCTGTAGGAAATCTACATTGTATTTCAATACAATGATATTTGGACAGTATTGATTGAAGATTATTAGCCAATTTTTAACAAAAAGAGAGCATGCTAACTCTCTAGATGCAGATTCTTTTTTATTTACAAAAGAGCATTCCATGCCCACAAATCCTAATCTGCAGCTTGAATTGCATATGCAAAGAAACATCTTACTATATCAGTAGCATTTGTAGTCAAAGACATGAAAGGACACTGTTATACAAGCTACACTATAAATTCTGGAAGAATTCAATGAATACTAATTGCTACAAGTATACATTTAGATTTCATAGTCTAAACTGAGAAGTCAAATTCTAAGAACAATGCAGTGATTTTAACACATGATTTTATTAGTATGTGTTGTGGCTAATGGACTTTAGGAATAAAATATGCATCAGTAAACAAAACCATTCACATTACTTTCTTGAATGCTTACCAGAGGAAAGCAACTTTGGGGAGCAGCCTCAGCTCCGCATTGCTTGAGATAATCTGCCCAGTCAAAGTCTTGACCTGGATAACCTGTGAGCAAGAAAAAAACACACTTTATTATAGCATTTTAATCATATTCCTTCTTTAAAAGGTCAGGGTACCTTCCATTTCTTCCCCATCTGGCTCTTTAATAATGTTGTAAAATAAGTGAGATTTAGATGATGATAATGATCAGTGTTACCTACTGACATTCATAGTTCTACGGCCCTGAGTTTGGACAATCCTCATCTAATATTCTAATACAGATAGTCCTCGACTTATAACAACTGTGCCCAAAATTTATGTTGCTAAGTGAGGCTTTTGTTAAGTGAGTATTGCCCCATTTATTGCCCCACAGTTGTTAAGTGAATCACTGCAGTTGTTAAGTTAGTACTAACACGTTTGTTAAGTGAATCTGGCTTCCCCATTGACTTTCTTGCCAGAAGTTCGCAAAAGGTGATCACATGACGCCGGGACACTGCAACTGTTAAAAATATGAACCTGTTGCCAAGTATCTAAATTTTGATCACATGACCATGGGAAGGCTGCAACTGTCCTAAATGTGAAAAATAGTTATAAATCTACTTTTTCCAGTGCCACTGTAACTTTTAATGGTCACTAAACGAACAGTTGTAAGTTGAGGACTACCTGTATATTACACTGACTTCCTTAAACATGAGCTTAAATCTTAAAAAAAAAAATACTTCCAGACTTCAGAAAATTCTTCCCCAGGTCTATACTACAGCTGAATTATGCTACAAAATTATTCATCTCCAAAATAGCTCAATAAACAAAATTAAATTACACCACAAATTTAAATGCATCTAGAAGACTGGTATGAATGGAGGTAGATTACATATACACACCAGGTGGAGGGTTGAGATGTAAGCCATTTTTCAGGCTCCACTGTACAGGGAAAAGTCCTGCACTGTTGACATGACAAATAAAACGCTGACTTGTGGTACAATCTGGTCTCAAATCATCTATTTCTATCAAGAAATATTTATCATTGAATACCTGAAAAATAGAGAAAGGACTTAGATAATATAAAATTGAAATCATATGTAGTTTCACAATCAAGTTCCAAGGCTATATTTGTTAAGATATTTACTGTCTATTTTATGTAACTTCTATTTTTATAGTTTTGTACCTTGCTATGATTTTACTAGGATTTTACCAATATTGTATTAAATATTAGCTATCTTAAAATAAAAGGTGACATTTGACAAAGTCTTGGGTATAACCCCTTGAACTTCAGATGTTGTCACTGAATATGACAGAAGAACATGGGGAATGTTAGCTTAATTTGAAATTTTAATTAAACTACATCAAGCATAGCTTTCCCTGCTCCTACTATAATGGGGTTAAATATCCTGTGCAAATAAGAGCAGTTGTAGGCCCTAGAAAGATTGCAAATCTCAATCTAAAACATCTTGCACTCTATAAGAAATCCCAGAAGGAAAAAGAAATATCCAGAAGGAATATAAATTGTTATATCTGAAATTTAAAATGACAAAATAGGACAAGAGGTTTAATTCAAGTCTTCAAATGATAAGAGAATGAGAATTTCAGAGCCCTCTAATTTTAAATCACCCAAAATATCCACCTGAGGAAATGAGGATAAAAATATATCTGTATTTCTTTATTCAGGATTAAAAAAAATCTTGAAATCAAGAATTTAAAAACTGGCATAAATTGTGCTTTAGTCTGGTGAATACAGAAGGACAGCAGGAAGGATAATTTCTATCACACACCCAAACCTTCCTATCTTCCTTTTGGGACTTCTAAGGCTGTTAGGTATATTCTAAATCTAAAAATAAAACAGCACTAATAGGCCTTAGCTTACTAAAAAATTAAAATGAATTTCAAATTGACAAATGTATGTATGTAATGAAATGGGAGCCCAAACATACAGGGCCAAAATTAAAATTTTCAGTAGCAAAAGATATAATAAAACATAAAGATGAACCAAGAAGAAAAGCCAACAGACTTGTCTAACAAGAAACTTTTTTATATGAAAAATGAGGTGCTGCATTTTGGAAAGTATAAGATAAAAAAAGAGATGTACAATATAAAAAGAATGCTGACTGTGCAAAAAGAATAAGAAATAAAACTAAAGAATTGACAGTGTTGGCAACATAGAACTCACAGCTGTCACGAAGGGTTAGGCTAAGAAAGTGATATAAAAGCTATACATCTATTCCAGACATAATTATTAATGTAGCTGCACAAATAGTGAGAAGATACATACCTATAAAAGCATCTTACAATTACAATTTATATTCATTTTTAAACACTTGTTAATACTGTCTCTCTTTGCTACTCTGCAAGATGCTCACTCAATATGGCATCAATAATGTTTACATTTCCCAAACCAGCAACTAGGAATTTTGGAACTAATCTATATCGAATCCTCCTAAGGATTCTCACTGGCTTAACAATGGCCACTGAACTTTTCCAAAATTATACCATGTGAGAAATCTTATTTATTTTATAAAAGTGTTTCACTGCAATTATTTTATAGATGGGGAGGATAAGAAATAGAGTTCCTGAAAATATTTGATAGCTAGCTATTACACTTGCATCTTTAGGGCTCAGGAAGTAAATAAGGTCAGACCTATTTAGTATTTTGATAAGAAACCATTAGGGAATGTATTATAGAGTAGAATGGGAAATCAAAAGACATTCTAAAAGAAGGCAGTGGCAAACTTTTTTCTGACTACTGAGAAGAAAACTGCATGGACATGTCCATGAAATCACTAAGAGTAAAACTCAATCCAAGAATATTTTTAACATACAATTCACTTATTAGACCTCATAAGCCAAACTGATTCACAAAATGGAAAAAAAACCCAGATGCTAAAATTATTATTCTCTTATTATGTCAATAACTACTGAGGAAATTCACAATAGAATTTTCCCTGAATTTTTTTATTAATAATAATTTTCATCCAATTGTGCCTAAGCTTTTAGGGACAAAAAAAAATATCATGGCTTAACTCCAGTTTTTGAAAATATAAGAATCCAGCAAGTAGCTGGATAAGAGAAAAAATTATTTCAGTATTAATACTGATTCATAACTGTAATTTTTAAATTTTAGCACACTGAAAGAAAAATGCATATGTGTGTACTTCTGAAACCACATAAAAATCCTATAAAAGATAAGTGACACTGCTTAATTTTAAGCAATAAAGATACTACAAAGTTCTTAAAGCTGCCTATGAGTCTAGCTCCTTGCAATTCAATCCCAGATTAAAGGAGATTTCATAGTTGCTGATTTATATAGAAATTGAGCTCTGCCTCTTCTACAATGTCTTCTCATTTCACATTTCTTGGAGTCAAATATTTATGAACAAACACTGAGACATGTTCTTGTTGCAAATGCCCTACAACAGCGGTGTCAAACTCGCACACGTCACATGACGTGTCGCAACGTATCATGACTTTTTCCCCATTGCCGGAGCTGGGGTGGGTGTGGTTTCGGTATGATCGGCACCCTGCCCTACAAAATTAGCTTCCATTCAATGTGACCTAAATATTAGTGTGTGAATAAATTACAAAGAGTAGTTTTCTTTGCAACAAAGAAGGAAATTACAATTAGCAACCAGATGCTTGTGATACCTTTGTAACTGTAGCAGGTGATATGGCAAAAGGAGCTTTTGGATCAATAGCTTCCAACTTCATGTTTATAGAAAATGCATGAGTTCCAACAACAGGTTTGTCCTAAAAATAATTAACAAAAATTGTTTGTTTCCATTATTCAAGGTTTTCTTAATATCTATGTATGTATGTGCATACACATGTATACCCCCCCCCCCCACACACAAACACACAGCTATTTTCAAAACTCCCTTATTTTGTTTGGATCACTTTTCTGCTTTATATTGTTGATGATATTTTAGGTTTTTTTTTAATTTTCTCAACATCAGTGAGGCAGTCACCAAGGAAGAAAATTATTTATAATAGAGAACAAGACCTGGAAAATATTTTCCATTGATAAAAGACATGTTCCAGTTGTTTAATAGTTCTTTGAAAATAACATGGAAGTTTTCCACTTATAGGCAACCCAACAAATTAAAGTTACCAACATTTGCTCTCTCAAAAATAAATTCAGCATGCTTTGCTCTTATAGTACAAACATTTCACACAACAGTTTTAACTAAGTATTTTCTAAGAAACATTTTTCCAAATAAATCAGCATTATAGAATCGCTTATTTCTAAAAAAATTGACAAAATATTTTTGAAACTTTTAGAACTGGGTCTAGGGATCCCTGCAGGACAGGAAGTCAAAAGTGTATCTGTTTCATGAATCTCTAAAATAATCTAAACATTATCTTATACAACAAGGCTTTTCAACCATTTCACCCATTGTACCACTTTTAGGATATGGCAACATCCGAGTACCACCAGTCGCCTAGCAAGGTGTCAAAAACTTGATGACCCATAAAAAAAGGAAAAAAGTGATAAGTACAGGTAGTTCTCGACTTATAACAGTTCACTTAGTGACTGTTCAAAGTTACAATGGCACTGAAAAAAGTGCCCCCCAAGCCACAGCCGAGCAAGACACCTGCCTGCCCGCCCGGCGGCGCTCTTCCTCCTGTCCGAGGTTTCCATTGTTGTGAGCATTTCTGTTGAGGATTGGCAGTAGGCGTGGGGTGGGGGGTGTTTGGTTTTTATTCCCCCCATCTGCTGGGTGGTTGCAGCAGGTTTTGGTCACTTCACATGACCCTGGGACACTGTGACCGTCATAAATATGAATCAGTTGCCAAGCATCTGAATGTAAATCACAAGACCCTGGAGAGGCTGCAACATTCCAGCTGATCGGCGCTTCTTCTGGGCTCAGCAGAAGTGCCAGGATCAGCGCCGAGCTCCAGCTGGAGCCTGGCACTGATCCTGGCGCTTCCACTGAGCCCTGATAGCCCCAAAGAAACACTGATCCTGGCGCTTCCGCTGAGCCCTGACAGCCCTGCAGCTCCAGCCATCTCTCGCTCAGGCTTGTGCGGTGCTGCCACCGGTTCAGCTCATTCCCCTCCCCCACTACGACGTTTCTAGGATGGTCGCGTACCACCTGCCAGGTGCCAATGTACCACAGGTGGTACCTGTACCACTGGTTGAAAAGCCTTGTTATACAGTATATTTTTATTTTTTCAATTACCTAGAGTTTCTGATATCCAATAAGCAAAAAAGCTTAATTAAAATATTACCTTGTCTCGGTCCCAGAAAAGTTTGTACATATTAGATTTAATCATAGCATTTGCTACAGATACAGTAAATGTCAAATGTCACACCTTGAACAGATCAGTGGGCACTAACGATTCTTCTTCCTCTTCTTTTACTTTTGCTAGAATTTCTTGCCATTCTGTCTCAGTCTTCAAGTGCCTAATAGCTTCAATAAAAGAATGATAGTTTGTTATCCCATTAAAAGTAAAATGCAGAACTTTTAAAAATGAATATATTATATTACATTCATAGTAATGGAACAATAGCACTTAGACTTATATACGGCTTCATAGTGTGGAAAGCTATGGAATGGAAAGCTGAGTCAACCTTGAACAGTTCAGAATTGAATTTCTGGAGTGAGCAGTGAGCCTGCAATACTGCATTCTAACCACTGTGCCACCACAGCAAGCAATAATATAAACACATATGTCTTCCTAATCTGTGCTCCCTATGAATGCTCTCTTGGCAAACTCATAATATTTTTCAAGTAAAGTTGAAATAAAAATACAAGATCTAGAGAATTAAAAATATTTAAAACCCAGTATCTAAATTATAAAACCAATAATATAAAAACATTAAACTAATAAACTACTAAGTGATATAAGTGACTAAATTCCTCAACAGCAAACTAGTGATTTGATAAATTACTAAATATTAACACAGTTAATCCATTAATCAATCTTTTAATTACAATTACAAGCTAGTGCAAATATTTAACTTCCATGTGCAATATAATATCTAATTATATATCTAATTATAGATATATCTAATTATCATTATCTCAGTAAATGTTGAAATTCCTCTTTACAATATTGCAATTTTTTCAGTAAGACAACATTTCACTACTTGCCAGATAATTTTAACTATTTTATCTGAAAGTAGACATCAGGAGCTATCAAGATTTCTTATATCAAGGGATCAGAATTCCACAAGTGTCCCTCTATAAGCAACAATATAGAAGGACACAGACTGGCATTTCTAATGTACTCATTCTCCATGTATTGCAGTTTGCAGAGCACTCTTGCATATATAGTTTTGATCTTGAATAAGTTTTGATCTTGAATAAGACAGCCCCCTAGCAGAATACTTCATATGCAGCATGCCACCTAGAAAATTTTCCTCAAAAACATGGTCTGAGTGGTCAGGTAAGGATGACTTACTTCCTATAGCTAATTCCCTTCTAGTTTGTGCATCATTAGTTTAGATTTGACCAAAAATTTCTTAAATTTAGATTTTATAACAAAGACATTTAAATCCTTATACAAAGAATAAGTTGTCATCAGCACAAAACATTTGTTTCAAAAGAAATAACTCTAATAATAATTCCATTTCAATTGAAGCAAACATTATTTTAAGAAAGATACGATTTTCTAAGGCAGCTTGACACAAGTTATCATCAAACAAGGGAAAGGGAAAGAGCCAGACAAGATAATTTATTTAAATCTGCAGTGCTAGTTTGTGAATGAAAATTAAGTTTTGTACCTAAAGGAGGTTCAAGGATGTACCCTTGTTGAGATGCCCAACCCACTGGATGGAGAAAGGGATCTAAATAGAACATCCATAAGTCATATTGTTCTACATCTCCAAGTCCTTCATAGCGCAGCCTGAGCCTTCCACCAATGTTTTCCAAAACACTGACTATCCAAGCTCCTAGACAGTCACTTAAGGGCTGACATTCAAGTCGTGACCCTGGTGCGATAAGATCCAAAGAATTTTTTCCTCGATGGAGCTGCAGAGTAAAAGGGAAGAAAAATGGTTAAGAACATCTGCCTATTCATCTATTCTAAAATACAGCATTATTTAATTATGTATTTACTTCATTCATTTTCTTACACATTTTATGTTTTTGTAATGAGATTATTATCTGTAATATGGTTATACTTGTAACAGGTTCACAATTATTGCAAAATAAGAAAGAATTTCCTATTTCTTATTGTCTTTGCTTTCTAGGCTTTTAGTCTGTTTGCTTTTAAGTAACAAGATTAGTACATTATAACGTTTATTTCTGTTTAAATGTATATTTCTTAATAGAAATATATTATCTACTGGTATTTAGATATGCATGTCTGTTTCCCACTCATCCAGAATACTAATGGGTGGTCAGTTCTCCATTTTAGTGTACTCTTTTACAAGATGCCATTAGCTTCCCAAAGCAGCAAATAGCAGACAACTGAGTCAATCCATAAATTAGATTAATTAATGAGCTCATGAAGCAAACTCTCGATTCACTAAATCTAACAGTATTAGAAACCCCTTCCACATCTATGTTACCACAGTACTTTTATTACATACAAAAGTGAACAAAAAGAGGCAAAGGTAAGGTTACTTGCAGAAAGGTTACTTGCAGTCATGGGAAGGTTATTTTTGAAAGTTACAAAAACAAAATCAAGATAAGCTTCTGGTAAAATATTCTTGAAAGATTGGCCACATTAAATACCAGATAAGCATTACAGTATCTATATCATTGTTCTCTTTCTTCGCTTCACAATCACTCACTCAGCAACTGTTTGAAGTTAATGATCGCACTGAGTGAGTGGTACTTACAACTAGTTCTCAAAGTTCTGACCATCACAGCACCTCTGCAAATGCTATCAGGGTACTTGCCTTTGCAGCATTCTGCTGTCACATGAATATTATTTGCAACCTCCCCTGCCAACTTTTTACAAGCAAAATCAATGGGGAAGCCATTATTTGCAAACCACTCACACTACCACACCCTTTCTCCAACCCTGCCTCATTCCATAATGTTTCCTCACCTACCTGCCTGTCTGCCTGCTTTTGATTTGCCTGGGACTTGCGTCTTCCTGCCAGCTTCTTCACTGACTTAATGAAAAATCAGCAGGAAGTCACAAGTGCCAGTCACATGAGGTTTTCACTTAATAACCCACAAACCTTAACAACAGCAATGAGGACTGCTAGGCTTGTCATCACTAAACAACATGGCTATGTGATGTCATGCTTTATCGCTGCATAGCTTAGCGATGGAAATTCTGGTGCCAATTATCGTTGTTAAATGTAAGGAATGGCTGCTGGATATAAGGAACCGTTGCTGGAATTGGGTATGTCTAGTTTAATGAAGAGAAGGACGAGGGGGGACATGATAGCAGTGTTCCAATATCTCAGGGGCTGCCACAAAGAAGAGGGAGTCAAGCTATTCTCCAAAGCGCCTGAAGGCAGGACAAGGAGCAACGGGTGGAAGCTAACCAAAGAGAGAAGCAACCTAGAACTAAGGAGAAACTTCCTGACAGTTAGAACAATTAACCAGTGGAACAACCTGCCTCCAGAAGCGGTGAATGCTCCAACACTGGAAGTTTTTAAGAAGAGACTGGACAGCCATTTGTCTGAAATGGTATAGGGTTTCCTGCCTGAGCAGGAGGTTGGACTAGATGACCTCCAAGGTCCCTTCCACCTTTATTATTATTATTATTATTATTATTATTATTATTATTATTATTATTATTATTATTACTACTACTACTACTACTACTACTACTACTACTACTACTACTACTACTACTATTATTATTATTATTATTAAATGAGGACTTCCTGTACAAAAGATATCCATCCCACTGATGGAGCTCTTTCCCCAAGGAGTTCTTTACTGCAATCCCACCCCTCTTCCAGACTTTAAGTTTATTCTGAAAATTGCATGTTACTGTGTCTTTTATAACTATACAGCAAAATCTCTCTTGTATTAGTTTGCCACTACTTAAATATATTCCAGAAAGATGAAGTTATAACCAAATTGGGAAAAAAACATACCATTAATAAAAAAAACAAGTGGTCATTATTAAGCTTTATTGAAGTGGGCTCTACTCCCACAATACCTACCCCTTCTAGAAGACCAGCAGGGGGGCTGCATGCTCCTTTCAGAGTTTGCTGAAGGAATTCTATCTGATTGGGAATTTTATCCTTAATGCCTAAAAAAAAAAGAAAGAAAGAAAAAGAAAAGCTAAGTCAATCAATATTCAGTCTTGCTATCTTATAACCAGATTCATTAAAGTTAGGCTTATCCTGGGAAGGTCAAAAGCAAACCCACATGTTTGTAGTTCAACATGTTTGCAACTTTTGGATTACTTAAAAGTACATTTCAGAGTGTTATGACCCAAGTTGCTGAGTTCAAGGATGATTAAATCTAGAGTGGGAACAGGTATAGCAATGATAGCGAACCTTTTAGAGACCGAGTGCCCAAACTGCAACCCAAAACCCACATATGTATCGTCGGGTGCCAGGTAGGCGTGGCCCATTGGGTGGGCATGGCTGCGGTGGTAACGGCAGACTGGATGGGACTAAAAAGTTCAATCAAGCAATTCCAACTTTGCAAGATCTTTTTTTTCCCCACAAGAAGTTGAAATTGATTGATTGATTGAATCTTTTTTTTTTTTGCACACGGCAGCGGAGGCCTAAAGCAAAAACGTTTTATAAAACCCAGCTGAAGGCCTAGGACTGGGGCGATGGCGCATGTGCCCACAGAGAGGGCTCTGCGTGCCATCTGTGGCACGCGTGCCATAGGTTCGCCACCACGGAGGTATAGGATCTCAATCATGATGAACCAAAAATAAGACTGTCATTATTAAGTCCAACACCTATATTGACAAGATGTTAAAAGATAAATGGATTGACATGCATTTGGCTTTTAGGTATCGTAGCAAATATACAACAGATGTAAAAGCAATTCATGCAAAGCTATTTAAAAGTAGACACCCATGGAAAACTAAATACAACAATTTAGAGAAAAAGCCTGAACCACAAACTCTTAATCACTTTACAGGCAGTTATTTTGCGAGTTTACAGAATCTATACTGTGTTCCATAGAAGATGGTTACCTTCAGGTACTTTGAGGGTCTTCTTGTTCTGCTCACACCAGCCAAGGGGATGCAAATTGGCTGTCATGACATCACACCAGAAATCAGCTTTGCGGTCTTCTCCATAACCATCATAGCGCAAAAGTAGTAACTGTCCACATGTGGTGATGATTGTGGCAATCCAGTAATTGTCAGGGCCAGGTTTGATAGCAACCTCCAATTTCATGCCTGGTGTAAATCCATTTTGTGGGCTAGTATCCACCTAAAAGGGGGGAGGGGGGAGAAATAATCAAGTAAACAATTTTAATACTGTAACTTTATAAAATATTTGGTACAAGTTAGGGATTTCTGTTGATAACTGGGCAATATGGAAGGTAATGAATTAACATTTCTGGATTAGTCAATTAAAATAATAATGGAAAAATACTACAGTTTGGATACAGTTTTAAGGATACAATGGTAATAACCTACATCAATCAGACCAGGTATTTCCCCCCCAAAATAAATGATCAACAGGGCAATGCATTTAGAATTAGTTAATTCACGACAATCTAGAAGCGCAGATTACAAACTTTAGTGTATAAACCCCTAATTTTTGCTCCCAGGTTGTGCTACTGAAATCTACTCAATACAACTGATAATTACATCTATTTTGTACTTATAAACACAAAATAACCTAAATGACCTTACCAAGAAACTCAAACAATAAAACCTTCAGGTTAAAAAAAGATCCCTGCCTTGATCTATGATATGATGCTAAAACACAACACTAAATTATTTTTAATTATAACATACTGTGTCACATATCATAATGAAGGCAAATTACACAATATGAGTAATTCAAATATCTGAATTATATTTGTTCTTATTATAGGAATCATATATGTATCTCATAATAAGATACATAAATCTTCATTCCCATTCTATTCTGCAATACATAATTCTGACACTAAAAATAAACAAAAATTCTAAGATATTTTTTATATAAAGTGAATTCCAAATCACTGCTCTTCAAAACAACTCAGAGTCATTCCTACTTCTATATTAATTACAACTCTACAGAACAATTCTTGACAACTCAAATGACAATAGTGTACATATAAAGTCTAATTAGGTTGCTTGTGAGTAGGAAAAATAATTTTGAAATCATTTTTATTGAATAAACATTACTCATACAGTTTTTTAAATTGAATAATCGTTTTTATTGAATAAGCTTTACTCATACAAAAATGTATTTCAAATGGGAGATGAAGCAGAATTAGATAACTGTCTCACTCAGGTACAAATGGAAAGTTACATAAATACACAGTCCTAGATGAACAGATAAAATCAAGAACTTGGGAGAAGGGACTAACTAATAATTAATAGACTAAGAATAATAATTAATAGACTGAGAAAAGTAAACAAACAATAGCATGCATGCAAGAATAAAAACAAGAATAAGACTTCTTAACTCGATACGTGTCTTACTATACAAATAAAGTATGACTACTCGGGACAGGAACCAATATATTCAAAACATTCTCTTTCCTGTTCCAATAGCACCCTCTCATGGCAATCTAGTAAGACTACAGTAGTACAAGGTTATCCAATTTCTTATGCAATCCCATCTGTGACACTACAGAAAAAAGTCCTACTAAATTCTTGGATCTTGCCTCCAGGTTCTCTGCATTCTCCACCTTTAATTTGTTAAGGTACACAAAATAACAAAGTGTGCTAGCTTATGATAAAAAAAAACTCTGACCAAAGGCAGTTATAGTAACAATATTTATTGGGGGGGGGAGGAATTAAATTGATAAACGTTATATCAGAAGATAATTAAATCTATATACTCACACTCTCCCTTGTGAAATGGATGCACAAATATTATATATTTATACAATAGACCCAATATTTTTCTCATTTTCATGTACAATATTTTGTATTTATATACCTATTCATTCATGGAATAAACCTCTTTATGCAGAAAAGGAGTAAAAAATAGTAAGCCATGCATGAGATTAAAAAAGAAAGGGGAAAATAACTAAAACTAGCTTATACTAACATAATTAACTATACATCTCCAGGCCTTTATATCACTGGGGTGTGTGTGTGTGTGTGTGTGTGTGTGTGTGTGTGTGTGTGTGTGTAATCCTGATACCACTACATTCATTGCTTTTTGTTCTTTGAACTTCTTTCTCTTTTTGAGGATATCATAAGCTCTAGTTTCTCTGCCTTTCTCTTTCTCACAACTCATTCACTTTTCTTTTAATATATTTTCATTCATTTCATCACATTTATATAGCTGCCAATCTCACAAAACATGATTCTGAGCAGCATACAATAAAAACAGACCGTAAAAAGAAACAAGTATTCCATAATTCCATGAAGTGTCATCATTCATTCTTTCTGTATGACCAAAGACCTTCCATTCCTAATTGTTACTCATTTTTGTGTGCAATCTACACTTGTTCATCACCCATTCATTCCTCACATTATATCTTTCCTTACTGCACACACTTCTTAAATACCTTATTCCCACTGCAGTCAACTTGCATTTCTCTGGCCATACTCAATTCTCACTTTCATACTACTAAGTAAATTCTAAGCTGTACAAATTCACTTATTTTTGCCATTAATGCAGTAATTCATTCTATTTTCCTTGTAACTCCCCCCCCCTCCAAAAAACCCCATCTCTAATACAAACTGCAAGCATTCTTATACATTTATCCATAGATCTGCAAAACAACCCAGGGGACATTATACATTGTTTTACCCCTGCTCAGCAGTGAATCATTCAATAGGCACTTCATTTATTCCTGCACATTCTTTACTTATGTATCTTATTTATTTGTTGCATTTAACAATGGGTCTTACATTCTATATTTGTATAAAACATTCTATAATTTAAGCCTATCAACAAATGTATAATAAACTAAACATTCTTACATCCATATATTTGCTGAACAGAAAATTCTGATTTATATACCTCCTGTCCAGCAGAAAGCTGGACTTCCCAAATTATGCTCATTATCACATCTTGGTCGATATCAATCAAAAGTGTGTCAAATGCCTCCCTAGAAATGTTTAACACAATTATTTTTTTCATTTACTCTTGATACCTTTCCTTTTGTTGAAGATAAAAATAATAGTCATCTGGGACCAATGTATTCTTATGCATGCATTAAATATGTCACATAGCCATTTCCTAGGAAATCCACATCCATATTTTAAAATCTCCTTAGTTACACCGTCTATACATGTAGCCTTACTATTTTTTCAATATTCTCACAACATTTATGTCTAACTTTTCATAATTTCAGGGTTCATTTTACTATTGATAGCATTTGTTCCATTCTTCAACTTAGCATTTATATTCAAATCTCTAAAATATTCTAAGTAATTTCTCAGTTCTAATTATTACTGTTGTTGATATAAAATATTTTATGAAAACAGTAACATGTATGGATCTGTTTTCATATCCACAAGATATTAGATCCTTCCCAAGGATCTAGGACAGGGGTGTCAAACTGCCAGCCCGTGGGCAGGTTTCATCATACCAGAGCCACGCCCACCCCATTGCCGGCAATGGCAAAAAAGCTCTGATACGTTGCGCGACGTCACATGATATCGCGAGTTTGACATGTCTGATCTAGGATAATTAAAGATATTGTCCTGATATATGTGCTGTTGTAAGTAATAAAAAAATGTAATTGATAAGTTGAGATTTTACCTATTCCTATTATGTCCAAGTGATTTTTCAGATCTTTTGGTATGGCACCAAGCACACTATTATTGGCACCACTAATACTTTTTTCACATTTGTTTGATCTCTATTTGGAGATCTTTATGTTTCCCAATTTTGTTCTAGTTATTTCTCACTGATCCCCAGCTATTGCAATGCCAATTATCCATACTTGTTTCTTTGTAATTATAGTCATGTCTGGCTTGTTACAGGCTAAATATTTATCAGTTTGGAATATTTGGAAGTATCACCTTAATGACTTCACTCTTGACTACTTTTTCAGTGTTGTGATTCCAACAATTCTTTGCTGCTGGTAAGTTATCTTTATTGTTGTCATATTATTATTGTTGCAATATACACAACAATGTGAAATAACAACTGCCAGTTCTCTAGCTGTGTTGGCCTTCATACACACTGAGTTCTTCCCAAGAACCTAGAATGTCATAATACACTCTCATAGTATATAACATAGAATAACATAGAATAAACAGGATTGGAAAAGACCTTTATTTTATTTATTTATTTATTGTTCGAATTTATATCCCGCCCTTCTCCTTGCGGACTCAGGGCGGCTGACAATCAATTTGTCAGCCGCCCTGAGTCCGCAAGTCTTCTCCCGCCCTGAGTCCGCAAGTCTTCTCCCCCTGCTTGAACAGAAGGTTTTATACAATTCCAGATAAGTGATTATCCAATCTCTTCTGGAAAACCTCCAGTGATGGATCACCTACAACTTCTAGAGGCAAACCATCCCATTGATTAATTGTTCTCACTGTCAGAAAATTTCTTCTTAATTCTAGGTTGGATGTCTCTTTAATGATCTTCCACCTGTACTTCTTGTCCTGCCCTCAGATGATTTGGAAAATAGGTCAAACCCCTCTTCTCTATAACAGCCCCTTGAATACTGGAAGACTGCTATCATGTCATCCCTAGTCCTTCTTTTCGTTAGACTAGAAAGACATAGTTCCCTCAATCTTTCATTGTACGGATTAGCCTCCAGATCCCTTATCATTTTTGTTGTTCTTCTCCATACTATTTCTAGAGTCTCAACATCTTTTTTGTATCGTGGTGACCAGAATTGCAGTATAAAGCAGTACTATGACTTCACGTGATCCTGTTGCTATCCCTCCATTAATGCAGCCTATAACCATATTGACGTTTTTGGCAGTTGCAGCATGCTGCTGGCTCTTACTTAACTGTTTGTCCACTAGGATATCTAGATCGCTCCCACAGTTACTACTGTAGAGGCAGATAACACCTATTCTATACCTGTGCATTTGGTTTTTCTTGCCTATGTGTAGGACTTTACTTTTATCACCATTGAAATGCATTTTGTTAGATAGGGCCCTGTGTTCTGATCCTGAGTTTATCTTCCAAAGCTATTCCCCTCAGCTTGGTGTCATCTGCAAATTTAAGGAGTTGCCTTATATCCCCTTATCTAGATCATTTATGAAGATATTGAGGAGTACTGTGCCTAAGACAGAACCTGGAGGTATCTCACTGAATGCTTCCTTCCATATAGATGTAGTTCCATTGAGGACTACATGCTGAGTATGGTTGGTCAGCCAACTACGAATCCATCTGGTGGTGATGTTAACTATTCCACATTTTTCTAACTTATTAAAAAAATAGGTTGTGGTCTACTTTGTCAAATGCCCTACTGAAATCCAAGTATAAGTTCTGTTTTTAATTGAATTTACTCTGCTGGAAGCTCCTAGTTTAACACTTTCCATCAATTTCAAAACCAATTTTTATTTCTATTAAAGTTTATGTATATGATGCTTTTTACTGAATTTAAAGAAAAACATATATATGAATTCAATTTTTATAGAATAATCTCATTTGTATTTGAAGTTCATCAACATATTAGTTACATGTTAAGCATATTTATCATAGGCACTAATTAATATACAATGGAACTTTATTAAGGTAAGCCCCCACACAAAGATACACAAATAAATATGAATTATTTATAGTAACTTATAGTAATTTATAGAAACATTGTTTCAAATTGCCTTAAATCATTCCAGCAAGATTTAAATTCCTTAAACAACAACTTGGTTATTGAAAAAGCAAATAATTGTAGTCAGACACTGTCTACACAGTTTTTAGTGGTATAACAGACAGCCCATAGTTGTACTATACTCTAAAATGCCCCTAGAGATTCTAAGCTAGAATTAGTGTACTCCTTGTTGAAAGTTATATGCATTCATTATTTGAAAATAAAAAAAAAACATTTCAAATTTTTGTCAAACACTATCACCCAGAATAATTTTTTTTAGCACAAAAAATCCTGGAAAGTTTCACAGCATTCATATCATGCTGTAAATCTACTGTGAAAGTTGAAGTCCCTATCCAATTATTTTGTTAGCAAAAAAAAAAAAAAGCAGTTGTTGTTGTTGTTAGTTGCGAAGAAAAAAAGCAATAACATACTTTTATCTGAAGCATTACATTTTTAAAAGTAGCAACTTAATTTTCATGTTTGATCGGTTCACTTCTACTAAAAGGAAACAAAATAAAAAGGAATGACTGAGTGAGTAAGATGTTGTCAACAAGGCATGGAAGAAAGCCTTAAGATGATGAGTCAGCAAGCTCTTTGCAGACTAATTATCTTCATGTGTTGTAACTGCAAAAGATCTCACTTTGCACCATAGAACAGGCCACTCTCGCTTTAAAAATATTTAAGTCAGCAATTCTTTGGATCTGTCTCTAGCACTAACTGAAACACAAGAGTCCCTCTTGCAAAGCAAAGAACAAAAATAAATGCTCTCTATTACTGTTATTCCCCCTTAAATGGGACCTGTGAGGACATTACTAAGGCCCAAAAGTTGCAGCAAAGAGCTTAAGGGACTGCACTTAGAATTCTCAAGGATCTGAAATGAAGAGCTTCTGCCCATTATGGCTACCAAGGGATCAGAGTTTAAAGAATACATACAGAGGACAACATTGACCAGATGTTTACTTACATGTCTAAATGAGCTGTGAGGTGCTGCTATTGCTCCTGTATCTTCCAAGTAGTCATCCCAACTGAACTCTGCTTCTTCCACAATAGATCCTGCATCTACAATAATCCAGAAACAATGGACAAATCTTAAATGGAAAGATGTTTAATTGGTATGGTATTATAAATTTCTTCACTGTAGATGTTTTTCCCACTGCTTTGAAGACAACGGAAATGTTCTATTGAAATTGTGTATATTAAAATGTCACATGACTACCAAATGACATAAGTAATATGCACTAGTGTCAATTAAACTATGTCACTTGTCTGTCAGATATCAAAAGGCAACAATATGAATTACTAAAGCCCCTATGCTGATATAGCGGCCTAACACCTAAGCTGTAATGAAGACATTTTTTTTAAAAAAAAGATAGAATGTACCTTATTTCAAGGGTAATGAGGATGGAAATTATATGAAATCTTTTCCATTTTAAATTGATTGGAAAAGAGTAATAGATTTATGAAGTAGGCACTAAGCAATTTGCAGATATAAAAGGACAGCTGCTTTTAATTTGAAAAAGTATACTTTTATGGATACATACTTGGGCAGTTTTATTCAAAAAGAAAAAAAGAAAAACCACAGGTGCAAAAACTGTATGACCACTAGAATGAAGCAAAAGGTCCATAAAAATCTCACATCTTGCTCTTCTCCTACCATCTAGTAATCGTACATGTTTTTGCCTGATCAAAGTCTGATTTAAGTTCTCAATTACTGCTGGAAGAAATTCATTCAATTAATATGTATAGTGTATTTTCACAAATGCTTAATTTTTATTAAACAGATAGTCCTCAAGCTACGACCATTTGTTCAAGCAACTGTTTGAAGTTATGGTGTTATGAACGTTCAGTTTGAAGTTACGATGGTGCTGAATGAATGGCACTTACACCCAGTGGTGGATTCAAATATGTGAACAACCGGTTCTCTATGTGGATGCCGCTTCCGGAAGTCCATTCTGGGCCTGGGCAACAAAAAATTAGCTACCGGTTCTGCCAAACAGGTACAAACTGGCTGAATCCCACCACTGCTTACACCAGGTCCCTTAAGTTACAGCAGTTCGTAGCACCCAAATGGTCACATAACCAAGATTAGGATGCTTGGCAGTTCATCTGTATTTATAACAGCAGCATCAAGAAAATGGTGAAAGTTAAGCTGTGAGTGGTAGAGCACAGAGGAGCAAAAGCCTTGAAGTGCAGGGGGCCAAAAGGGCAAAGAAGGAGGAGTTGAAAGGGAAGTAGTCCCTTACCTTGGAAGAACCAAACCTGGGCTGGGAGGGGCCAAGCCACAAGAGTGCGTCCCTGGCTGATGGACTTCAGTTAATGAGAGCAGCAAGAACTGCTGGGATTGCCATTGTTAAGCAACATGGTCATGTGATCACATCACATTGCTTAGCGATGGAAATTCTAGTCTTAACTGCTGTGGAAACGTAAGGACTATCTGAAAGGGGTATACATAATGTGTCATTCCTGAGTATGAGGAACCTGTGGCCTTTCAGATATTGATGAGCTATAATTCCTATTAGTTGTCACTAGTCATGTTGCCCAAGGCTACTAGAGCTGGCATTCAGCAAAATCTAGAAGCTTAATAGGTTTAACCTACAGATAGAAAAATCTAAAATTATAAACACTTGTCAATATTTGTAAGGCACAGTGAAAATAATTTGCTTAAAAATTGTTCCACCCCCATATGCTTATTTAGTCAAATTTGGCAAAGTTTAAGTAAAGTAGGCTTTGGGCATTGACAGAAAAAGGAATATAAAGAGCAGATGTAGAAAAAAATGTTCAAGTCTGATTATTTTTGCAAAAGAATAAGGGTGTGGTAAGTTTTTATTAAGAATCTGATCTTTTATTCAGACCTAAAGTATTTTCTTAGCTTAAATATTGTAAGGCAGGCTTTAAAATGTAAGGGTTCAAAGACAGAAGAATCAGATACAGGAATACAGAATTCTCCAGGAAATAGTACAGGGCTAGATGTTGGCAATATTCAAAAGCAAAATGCAAGATATTTATTTCAAAGCATTTCTGTATTCTTGCAACCTACAATGTAATCATGTACACAAGATACACTGGAGGATTTAACAAAGGACCAGGACAAGGTACACCATAATCTTCAAAAATGTTGGAGCTGAGGACTACCAGCAGTTAATCTGCTAACAAAGATACAACAGCTGAAACAGATGGGACTCATGGGAGGCAGAAGGAGGAGCTTACTTATGGCATAGCCTATATTCTTTTAAACTGCAGTTTTACCCCTTTTATAGCATATTATTACAATCTACCTCTGGTACCAAGATATTCTGACCTATTATCTTCAGAGATGGGAAAAATATATTTCATTTGTTCATGAATATAATACATGCCATGCAATGCAAAGCAAAAGATACAACATAAATATATTCCAGAAACATATAGACCTCTTTGTTGTGTGTCTACTCTCCAAAGACTATAGATACTAGATGTATCTGTAGTCCATTTTGTGCATTCTGGGAGAAAGTACTAACTATGACTAGCAACAGTGGACAGGACACACCTGACTGTTCCTCTACGCACTGTTAATATACTGGTTCAGGCCAGCTGCATTTCCCTTGCATGCTCATTCTTTCCTATCATTCTCTGATATAAAAAACATGACTAGGTAGTTTCTTAGGGTGCAAATGGAATATAGCCTATGCTAAGTTGTGATTTAGGACTTAGACCAAGATGGGAGAAATGTAAGTTCAAGTCCATTTTAAGCCATGAAGACATATCAAGTAACTTTGGGCCTTACTGGGTCCTCACAAGGATAAAATAGAGTATTAAAGTACTATACTACAGGGGTTCAAAAGCTGTTCTGCAAATATGAAGACAGTCACTAGAGGACAGCAAAAAAGATTTGTCTTCCATCTAGAGGTTGTCAAGATTTTTCTACCATATATATGGCAACCCAAATGTAGTATATATGAAGTCTTGAAGAAAAGATAGGATATAAAACAAACAGCTGGTTGAGGCATTGGTCCTACATTGGTTCAGAGTAACTGTGTATCTTGAATTCTTTTCTATCCTTTTCTGATTTTATTTCTTATCTTGGATTTTAATTAGGTTCTCCTATATTAATATATTAATGTAAGTAGTTTTGCCAGCATTCCGATTTCTCCTGAAGATGTTCAGTTCCCAGTATTCCTGAATAATTCTTGAAGCAGTACAGCTGAGGATGTTGACAAGCAAGGTCAACCAACCCTTGATGCTCCCGAGTCTTTTCTGCTCCTCAAATTAGGAAAATCTCAGTGGAGCTTATTGTTTAATTATTTTGTTTAAGGTATACAAAAATATGAGTGGGCACATGCCTGCTCCTGCTTGAATGCCCACCACTACTTCCTGATCCCTTAATCTTAATAGTAGATCTCTGAAGCTTTCTTTTGAATGTGAGTCTACATTTCCATCTGTCATGTTTCCTCAATAGTTCTTTTGGTTGCTAGGCAAAAATATTTCTATTCTCAATGGGACAGGAATGCTTGAGGATATAGTATTGTGCAGCTTTTCCTTTCTTCTTTTAATGTGCTGAGCTCATGAAAGAATTTATAAATATAGTATAAGGGAATTCAAAGCCATCCTTGTAGGGATGGGAAATATTACTAATGGGTTCTTATCTGTTATGTTATATTGAACCTGATGGAGGCCCCTGTGATGTCATCTTGTGTTTTGTGAATATAGTGACAAAAATGTGCCAGGGTTATAACTCTAATTTCCCTAGATCGATTCAAGATTAGTAGGCGTGTGATTATTGTCACTAGAACAATTTCCACTGCAGTTTTTCCAATGCCTTTGCAGACATTACAGGCATTTCTGAGTCACTTTTATTGTTTTGTATTTGTTCCCTTTCCAGGATCAGTATATACTGCATATAATGACCATTCTGATAGCAATCTAACTCTAATTATAAAACAACATAAGCATGAGTGCAGGACTGCTCTATTAGTATATAACTAGAACTTTTGTACTGTTCCATAACTGCAACTTTACATTTAACGTTGCTGCTGAATTGCTGACAGAATAACCATTATATTCAAAGTAAACCGAATTAGGAAAGGGAACATACACTATATGTGTGTGTGTATGTGTATGTGTGTATGTTTGTATAAACAGATAAGAAAACCAGTGTTAGGTTTATAATTCAAAACCATGTCTTAGTAGGAAATTAAACTTCATATTAGCATTGGTGCTTCAGCAATAAATACCTGAAATAACTAATGTTTCAAAACAGAAGAATGTAGCATTATATCTCAATGTATTCCATTTCATAGAAAGTGAGATAGGGAGGGTAATAAAAATCCAAGATTAATTTAAGTTGCCAGTATTTTAATCCTTCATGTGTGAAAGATTGCATCCAAGATCTCAAATATATTATGACATTGTTCATTTTTGTTAATACTGTATATTTATTACTTAAAGGAAAATATCATACATGCTCAAAATGGGAACTCAAAATGAAAAAAAACCTCAAAATGTCAAGAACCAAAAATGAAATCATAATAAATATTAATTCCAAATGTTAAATATATAGTTTTTAAATTCTCAAATCTAATAAATTACAAAATATAAATATAACATGGTATAACACACCATATGTGGCATTTAATTAAGTATTGGGAAGTTTTGTATTAAAAAATAACTTCTGTAAAGAAGAATCCTAAATTCTACTTTTATGTAGTCCAGACTTGTATAAAGAAATTGTTGCAATGACTTATTCTGGGATCAAATGATTCTAAATATGCTGAATTGGCATGATTTCCATCTCCGGAAACTATAATACCTGTCTCATGCTGCTGTTCTCCATTCATTTCCACAGCAATCTGGTAATACGCTTTGGGAACAGGAGGTAGAAAAACTCAACCCAGTCACTGTCTCGATCTTATCAGCATCCCAATATCTGCTTCTTCAAGCTTTGTGTTGAAGCAAAAACTGTGAAGAAAATTTAGAGGCACATTTTTATCCTTAAATCTAGAGCTACATTCTTGTTTCTTTCATTTTTGTATAATTAGAACAAGCTACGTCGACACTTCTACTTGATTCTACCACAAAATCTACTTTTTTCTAATATAGAGGTGATTTTGTTACAGAAATCTACAATGCTACAGACTATTATAAACAGGAGAATAAAACAATGCTACAGGTTCACTTTTAAGGTATAAATTCATTTTGTTTCACTTTCATGCAATTTCTTAAGTCCATCAGAAATAAAGAGTCCCTAATTTTTTGTACCTCAACTAATTCCAAATAAGTAACATAAAGCCGATATTATTTATATGAGAAACTTCTGTCAGAGTTTAAATATCTGCAAAGTTTGCAAACAATTATAAATGTATTAAAATTGTTACATCATCAAGTAGGAATATTCTAGTATTAGCAATAGATAAATTGGCTGTGTAACTAGAAATAAATTGCACTATTAAATAAATACAACTTTTGATTGAACCTTTAGATGTTAAAGGATATAACATTCTCATTAAAGAGCCACATACATTGGTGGGCACAATAGCGATACATGCTTGTTAACTAGGTCTGCTGTATATTGTATGAAAACATCCACTGTTTTGACTTCAGAACCCAAAAGACTGCCAGAGAGGTTACATCAGCAACTGTTATTATGATAGTTGGCAAAATGCTCTAGGAATCACATTATGTAATACTAGAAACATACTATTCCTTAAAAATAAGACAATTATACTGATGATAAGGGGAAAAATACAAAATCATATTAAGACAATATACTTATTATAATTTATATACTAATTACACTTATTATGCCAAATGAAAAGTAGCAATTACTAGCAGTAGTAGTATAATACACATACTCAGAAAGTTTCCACCCTTCAAAAGCAAGACAATTAAAAATTTAATTTAAAAAAAGACTAAATGTAACTTGTTGCAAATTCTCAGCTGACCTAAGAAAGAAACTACCTTAACAAAATTTTGGATTATCTACCTTTCTTAGTATGCCACAGTATACTGTCAGATAATAGTATACTTTACCTTTGGAAAAAGTAGCTGAATAATTTAATTCTTGTGAAATTTCATCTTCTGAATTACCTTTTGGTTCTGCAAGATCTTTTAATATACCACATTAACTAATTTCACCTTGTAAACCAGGTAACACTTTCAACATCTCCCAATACATTTCATGATCTAAGTCCAAATGTTATTAGTAATTTTCTGTACAAAGATGAGAGAAATTTTGGCCCTCTAGAAGTCCTACTATTACCTGCCATCAAGGGCAATAGTTAAGCATCATGAACATTAGTCCAACAATTTCTGGATTGCCATATTTCAGGCAAATATTTTAAAGCCTTAAATTATTTGCAGTCAGAATCTTAGAGACTACTTCCACAGAAAACTAAAGGTTGTCATGCTTTGTCATAGGAGAAAAAAATGATGAATGATGAGGAAAATGATGAGGAACAAGGCTTCTCTACCTACACTGGAATTCTTATCAGAGGAAAACCAATTAATCCACCCTATTCCTTCTCTTTGCAAAAAAAAAAGTATTTTAAAATACTTTGTTTTTATTTTGATACTATAATATTGCTACTCTTGGATTTTCCTTGCTGCTACATGTGTTCTTTTACCCTGTTAATTTGGCTTTATATTCATATACAACTCGGGGCAGAACAGAAACTATGATATGAATATTTTCTCACAAGTGGGTGCCTCTTTTAAGTCAATGGGTACATCTTGGAAGCTGTGCTCCAAAAGAGAGCAGGAACCAATGAAAGGAAGGTTTTCAAGCCCTGCAAGATTTAATTTTGTTGACAAAATATCCCCCTTAAATTGTTCCTGCCCAACCACCACCCAGGCTCTATACATTTCTGGATCCAGGAGGGATCTAATAGATATTACATATCCTCAGGCCTCATCTATTTCAGACTTTCAGCAGACAGCTTAAATTCATATTAGAATCTATGTTCAAATCAGTTCAAAGTGGGGACATTGCAATATAATTTTCCCATAGGCTAAGGCCGTAGTGGCGAACCTGTGGCACGCGTGCCACAGGTGGCACGCAGAGCCCTCTCTGTGGGCACGCACACCATCAATTTCAACTTCTCGCGGGGAAAAAAAAGATCTGACAAAGTTGGAATTGATTGAACTTTTTAGTCCCACCCAGTCTGGTGTTACCACCGCAGCCATGCCACCCAATGGGCCACGGCCACCCAATGGGCCACACCCATCCATGGGCCATGCCCACCCTGCACCCGACGATACAGAAGTGGGCTTTGGGTTGCAGTTTGGCCACTCGGTCTCTAAAAGGTTGGCCATCACTGGGCTAAGGTAATACCAAATAGAACTTTGGCTAATAGAGGAATATCAGCAAGCCAATACATTAAGGCAAAATAAAGAGACTGTAGCATCATCACAGCAGCCTGGTTTATCTGCAATGAGTATATATGGGAAAAGCTTCAAGTACTGTCCATCCCACATTTATTCAGCAAAGGAATAGGTGTAGTGAACACACAGATAAAGTAATATTGATTCAAACCAAGCTGTGTGTTTATCCAGGCTCCTCAAACTCCAACATTCAATAAATAGTTAAATTAAAAAAAGAAATTGGTTGAAGCTTATCAGCAATTGAAAATACCTTTTCTCAGTTGTAGAATTATCAGCACCTTTTAACTTACAATGCTGATGTCAAAAATTCAAAAGATGTTTTCAGTTCTGGATAGGTTGCTTGCGTCACTGCTGCTATAGCTAACTGAAGGTGAGGAATATCAATTTGCCTTGACTTTTTCTGTTTGAATTTAACACTTTAATTGTTGATATACTAATCTTAATTGAATTTAAACTTATCTGTCTTGAATGACACCCTGGATTTTAAAGTACAAAAATGTGGTAAGGCTTAACTAAATATGTTTTTAAGTTCTAATCCTTGAATTTATATGCAGGCAACCTTTCCTAGAGATTTCTGGACTAGGCTAATCAGAAGGCAAATATGGAAAGTAATTGCACTAACAGATAAAAAAATAACTTCTCCCTATTAGACAGCACACTGGATTTAAAAGTAGAAAAATGTAGTAAAGCTTAGCTAAATATATGTTTTAAGGTTCTAATGTCAGCCTGATATGCATCTGTGAACACAACAAATTTATGAAATTAAAGGTTTATTCATGATAAAGTATGACTAGAGGTAACTGAATAATTAACCTAATAAAAGATTATATATCCTAATCTAGGTAGGAAAAAATAAGGAAATATTTAGAATGCATGTTAGCATGCTCGCTCTTGTAGAGTAAAAATATAATTACCAATTACTATGAACTACAACAAAGATAAAACTGCAAAGTGGGTGAATTTATAGTCTATTGCAGTTCACTACTTGGCAATATGCTAATGTTCTAAAAGCCAAAATAACTAAGGATTTAAAATATAAAATGGATTTTTCTTTTAGCATGTTAAAAAAAACTAATGCAACCTTTTTGTGATTAATTTCAACAGCGTTGTAGCTTTACATCTTTCATCAGCAGGTATTTCCTATAGCTGAATTAAAGGAACAAATCATGTTTTATACAGAAACCTGGGAAATGAAGAAAATGTGGGAACCAATTCCTGTTACAATATTTTGTTTATTCCCATTTTACTTAATATAGCTCCCTAACATAAATTAGTGGATAACAGAATAATCTGTCACAAGAACATTATAAAGATTTTACGTTTATAGAGTAGTTTATAGACTATGGCAATTAGAGTTTACATTAGTTTACTTTTAATAAAATGGTTACATGGTTTTGATAATTTCATATGTTATAAACTAAAGTTAATATAAGGGTAATATGGGCCCTAATTAGGAAAGAGAAATTAAATGAGCAATGTAAACAAAATTTAGACTAAATAAATATCTGGGAAAGATTCTAACTTATAATATGGTGCTTTTAATAAAATGTCTGAATACAGCTATTGTAACACAAAAAAATAAAACAAATTTGTTAACAATGTAATATTTTTAATGTTAGACTATCATTTTAGATCTCTTTTGACTCACTGACTTAAATAAATGGAGAAAGAAAATAATCAGGATTCTGCAGAGATTGCTATTTTTAACTGGGCAAAAACTAACATTGGTTCATGGCAGCTTTCCTAAATTCTAAGTTGGATGTTCTCTCTGGAGTTTGACTGACTCCAAGGCTTGGTTGATACAGAAGATTTCCTTTCCCCAAACACTGCCACCTAGCTAGCTTCCCAATCCCACAACTATTGGTTAAAGGACAGAAAGATATAGCAGATAAAATAAGGCAAATTAGTATGATATTGCCACATCAAGTATGACTTTCATAAACAATTATTTTTTTTCCTTTTGTCAGTGAGACAATGCCATCCGGAGACAGAACAGCAAGTACACAAGACACTTTAGTTTAAAGTTGTGTTTACTTGCCAACTAGATGACTTCAGTCTATTCTGGATTCAATTTTCAGCAGCTAACCCACATCTGCTCTTTCATCACAGTCAAACACTGTGACCATAGAGACTGAAGGGCCAAGGTCAAAGAAGAGCAAGAGTATTAGAACAAATGGAAGATATCTGCTTTGAATTGTGGCAAAAGTTCATCCCATTACCTCAAATGTATTGAACAAGAATAGATATCAAGCAGAATCCTAATACCTTGAAGAGATGAGAGATCCCTAACTTTATAATAATAGGAAGAAATAGATAAGGAATCCTTCATCAGTATTTATCAAATCTGTGTATGCTAAACATCTCCCCCCTATCCTCATACACCACAGCACTCAGATTTATCAAAATTAGCAGCAATGGACAGAAACATTAGAAAAATATTACAGAAACACTGACTTTTTTAAAGAGATGGAGACCTAAAGTAAGG